TTTGTTTAGATCAAGCCAATCAAAACAAACAATTGCTCTCGTTTTTATTTTGTCATGACCCAATTAACCAGTGAAGATTTAAGAAAAATCGTCCTGAGAACAGGTACAGCATGAGTCCAGTGAGTCAATCAAAACGGAAAAATAGACAAAATGACTTGGGAAACTGATAGAGACTGCTTTTTCAGTGCCCTGTAAATATCAAAACGGAAAATGTTCATAGATATCTAAACGAGCGGTAGAAAATGCTCTAAGTTTGACCACCAGTCTAAAATCGCATTGTAGTCAAAATGTATTACACGCCGACCGAGTCGAAAACATTTGATATTCGACTACAAGTCAAAACATAATAGAATTAATAGTGGTACTCATGGCGTATAGCTAACCACGGTCCAGTGAGTGTCTCTTTAGGCTTAACGTGTAGGCCCGCTCTAGTACTAGCTAGACCAGTAGTCGCATTGCTTTTACCCTCTCACCACTGCGTATTGTATTGAAACTGTCAACACAAGTTGACCATGACAACTAGTCGCATCATTGCAAATAGATTGAAGAGCCCACCAAGGCGCCGTGTGGCTGTGGAGCAGATCACCTGCTCTCCTGGTGGGAGCAGGATTGAATTGGTTCGCAGAGTAGATGATGTTGCCCTCAACAGCAACTTGGAGCAATCCATCCTGGAAATGAGAGAGGAATACTCTGTTGGGTTTCGCTCTGTTGCCTGCAATCTCAGGCATCGATACTGCTTATTGCATTTGACAACTGGTGTGCTCAGATGCGAGAGCCTACATCGTGCTGAGTACAGTGATTTTCTTGGAATCCACATGCCCAAGTCTGACAACGACGTACACTCTTGTTTTTTGATGGTGAACCAGATTGGCATAGGCAAAACCACTCATGGGCGAAAACAGTATGGGTGTGCTACTAGACACAAGAACGTGAATCACTGTTGCATTGGCGCTTTTGCCTTTATGACCCAGTATCGATTTCACTATGCTGTGGAGTTCTCTGACTTCACCCTCGAGGACTGGATGGACAATTCCAAGTGGTTCGACATCAAGATATTGGCTGATGTGGTTGGTGACACAAAGAAGGAGATGCGAAATGACTCATACGCAAAACACATCAAGACCGTGCTCGGAAAGTTGAAGCTCAACTGCAACAAGATCCTTCATCTTGGCAGGAACTTAGGAGCTAGATTCCAGGGGGTTTTACACTCTGTGTTAGAAGCAATCAAGCAAATGGGGCAGTGGGCCTCTGGTGGTGCCTTCGAATCATCCTACAGTACGAAACCCCCACTCGGTCCTATTCGATCCCTTGCAGGGTATCATGGTTCTAACAGCATCTCTTTCAACACACAGTCTTCAGTTCTTCCACCAGCCGAACTGCTAGAACAAACACCAATTGGGAAATGGATATACGCAGCCTATGAAGGCGTTACTGAGGCTGCAGAGGACGGCACCCACATGACGGCAATCAGCCTTTTGAAATTCTTTCAAGACCTGAATACGATTTTCCTTCAAGATGCAGCTGCAATGATGGTGCTCTCTCCAGATAGAGCTGACCATCCAATGTTCAAGGAGCTCGCTGTATTTGTTAGCGACGAATTCGAGGTATGTGTTTCTTGTTTCCTTTGTTATCATTATTCTATTATTTCTGTACATGGCACTAATCAACTATCATCGCTACAAGACATTTAAGGAGAAAATGCGAGTTGCCATTGAAGAGGAGAAGGATCCTTTCGATTCCAGCATTGAGAGATTGCTTCCAGCAGGGCTCCACCAATGGCACACAGCAAACAACCAAGCAATCGGCCTTCTTGGTCAAAAGATGGAATCTATCGCGGACGTTCTCAGTGAAGGCATCAGGACACTTGTCAGCCATACACAAAGAGCAGAAGCGACAGGACAGGAACAAGAGCAGAAGCTAGCTTCTCTATTAGATATGGGCTCCCGCGTTTTACGAGGTGAAACCTTAAAGGAAAAAGACAATGACGATCATATGGAGTTACTGACGGATCTGGTTGGAACTCCTATGGAGATGGATAGTCCAGCTGGTGAAATGGAGCCTCTAAATGACAATACATCCGCTGTTGCTGTACCCAACAATTCTCCACCGGCAAATGATTTTTCACCAGTTCCATTTGACGCAACAACAGCTATACCCAACAACCGATTTTACCTCCAGCCGAAGCATACCAATCTTTCTAATTTGATGGATGAGTGGTGTGGTCAAGACGACTACTTTGATCCACTTGGCGGAGTCGAAGGGAGGGACAATAAGTTTGGTAAGAAGTGGCGGCAACACTTCACGGCGGACCAAAAGGCTCATTACTCACAAACAGCAAGGGTGGTTAAAGGAATTCGCAAATATGCTGCTGAACAGTGCAGAGGAGATGATTTTGATGCATGCGCAACAGTTCACTACAAGACGACTACAAGAAAAAATGCAAGTGTGCAAGTGCTCTGTGGCAAAGATGGTTGACTACTTGGCCGAACGAGGTCTCCTAGAGAAGAAGGAATCACGAGGCCGTACCAAGAAGTAGAATTAGTATAACAGCTTTACTTAGCCAGTTACATGATCAACAAGTACTTGATCGCATTTGTTGCGTTGTCAATAGAGTAGTGCCCTCTTGTTGCTACTGCCGGTACTGTTGCGGTACAGTGGACTATTGTTGCTTTGATTTAGGTGCGTGATCTTGAAGTTGAAAATGTGAGGAAGTTCCGCGGACTGACATCAGTATGTGTGTGTTCTTTTTCTGAGTACCGGTTGCCAATTCACAGTCCCGTTTTGCGAACCTCTGTTGCGAACCTCTGTTTGTAGGTTTTGAACCTCTTTTCACTATTGGTGAAAGTCATTTGGCTTTCGCCATGCAGGATAGCATTTGGTCTGATTCCAGTCCAATGGTACTGTTGTACACACAGTAAAAACTCGACCAGATGCAAGTCAAAAGCTCTCTCCTCCTGTCAAAATCCAACTTTGACTCACTCGATGGGAGCATGCACAAGCCCCGTCTAAGGACGATCCTAGTACACAGGACAGACTGGACAAATATCAACATATTATTTTGTGTCGTACACGTGTCCTGTGGCTACGTTACATGATGTATTGACAGCTGGATGGCTGGCTGGACCCAGTCGTTGATGCTACAGCCACAGCCCCAACCCTAAAGTGTTCTGCTTTTCTTCGCTGGCTGTGTGCGGGCGTCCCTAGATCGTCCGACGGTTTTCACCCAGGCTTTAAAAACGGGCACGACTGACTCATAATCCTGGTTCTCATTAAGAGGTTGTTTAAGGGGATGTTGAAGCTTTAAGGGGTTGTCTAAGGGGATGTTGAATATTTAAGGGGTTGTTTATTTAAGGGGATGTTTATTCGTGATAACGGGTTGTTGTATGGCGTTTCAATGAAGCCTTAAGGGGTTGTTTCGAGGATATAAGGGGATGTTGTTTTAAAAGGGGTTGTTTATTTAAGGGGTTGTTTAATAAAAGAGGATGTTGAAGCTTTAAGGGGTTGTTTATAAGGGGTTGTTTAACGATGTATCCTAAGGTCTGGCCGTCGTCCGGCAGAGCAGCGCCCAACAACATGAGAAATCGAGCTTTATCGAGCAAAAGCTGCTGCTGCCACGACCTCTCTGTTGATGATGTTAACTCTCTTTCAACAGCTTGACTTGACTATGAGTACTTCTTATAAGACTATGGGTGGCATCGCCGCTTAACCTGCCACCTTTGGGGTGCTAGACGCTTAGAGATAACAGAATCAGCAAATATGAGGCAGAATCAGCGATACAGCAGTATAAGCCTTCCTCAGCACCACTGTGTGGCAGGTTAAGTCCCTTCATCTTCTTTGTTATTTTCCCAACAAGTTTATATATGGTAGCTATCGCTGAAAAGGTTTAGAAAAGGTCCAAACAGCACCATCTTTGATGGAAGCTTTTGCTCGATAAAGCTCGAAATCTCGTGTTGTTGGGCGATGCGCGCCGGTCGATCGGATACATCGTTAAGGGGTTGTTTTTAAGGGGTTGTTTAAGGGGTTGTTTAGAGGACGTGGCAATTTGAAGATTTTTAAATCCTGAGTGAAAAGGGTTGGACGGTCCAGCACCCCAAAAATAAACAGACTAATGGAACAGGAAGGCACCAGGTTCTCTAATAGTCAATAGTCGTTCTAAAGTCGCGAAAGTCGTTCTAAAGTCGCGCACCGCGACTTTATCGCGACTTTTCACCGCGACTAGAACGACTTTCGCGACTTTAGAACGACTTTAGGACGACTTTGCGTGTAAATAACTAGAATTTTACCGCGACTTTACCGCGACTATATCGCGACTATTTGGTTCCAACTGAAAGTCGCGCACGACTATACCGCTACTTTTACCGCGACTTTAGCGCGACTATCGCGACTTTTTTGGCGAAGCGGGTAAAACCTGGAGCGTTCCTCAATCGTGCATGACTTATATCGAAAACCGACCCTAATTTTGGGTCGGATTTAGGGACGGATCCCCTTTAGGGTCGGGTTTCGAAACCGACCCTAAAATTAGGGACGGATTCTGAAAAAACGTCCCTAATTTAGGGACGGGTTTCGATTTTGGGGCGGGTTTGAAAACCGTCCCTAAATGGAAGCGTGACTGAGTGGTAAATACATTGAAATCCGACCCTAAAATAGGGTCGGGTTTCGAAACCGACCCTAAAATTAGGGACGGATTCTGAAAAAACGTCCCTAATTTAGGGACGGGTTTCGATTTAGGGGCGGGTTTCAAAACCGACCCTATTGCTACATGGAATTAGGGTCGGTTTTCAAAGATTTAGGGTCGGATTTGGGTCGGATTTTAAACTCACCCACGATTGAGGGACGCTCCTGGTGCCTTCCAGATCCGTGCCTCGGCTGCACTTGACTCATCATTCCTGGGCACTGGCAAATGTGTAGTGGATACTCGTTGTCGCCGCACTTTTCGTTGCTATAGTTAGTTTGAACTCTACCTAGCTAGTATGAAAGTACTGCATGCATGTTTTACTATTTTACAAGAACTCATCATCTGGATCTGGATTCTTGTGTGTCTTGATGGGTTCCGCTTTATTGACGAATAGAGCTTTGGATAATTGGGGACTTTGAATCAATTGTTCGTGAATGTAGAGAGGTTTTCCCTTGACAAAGAAGCTGCAGAATGGTCGAATGGTGGATCTTGGAGCTGGAGAGACATCCATCTCTGGATCAAACACATGATGAATGCGTGTTAGAAAGATGCTGCGAGTGGTTGCCTTGAGCAAACAGGGAGAGTTAGAGGAGGAGGATTCCTTTTCTTCTCGCGGACTGTCCTCTTCGGGGCTGGCTTTGACGTAGTGACACTGTCGAATGGGAATGCGTTCCAGCGTGTAGACGTAGGGCGCAAAGATCCATTGCAATCCGATGGTCGAGGCACAAGCGCCCATAACGGTGGTGGTGATCATGGCCACATGGATTCCACCAAACGTGTCCATTCCCTTGAAAACAACCAAGGCAGGAAGTCCCACGCTGCTCAGAATAGCGGACGACAGAGAAAACACTTTCAAACTGGTGATCAAGGAGCTGAAAAAGAAGACAAAACGGAGACGAAAGGAGATAGATAAGTAAGTATGGTTAGATAGAATGCATGCCGTAATTCAAGGAAGGTACTTTCTCCGGCACCGACTAGTCTAGCTAGTACCAAGCCACCTGGTACCGGAACCTTCAGCCACAATGATTCGCGGTTCAATCTGAGAAAGCACCGGTAACAGTACGAAGTCTACGTACCTCATGGGTCCTTCGTAGAGCAATTCTGGTTTCTGGGTATCATCCGACTTATCACTTGTACTCGTTTTACTACTAGTAGTACTACCGGTAGTACTAGAAGATGTCAACCATCTCTGATGTTCCTTCTTTGATTTGCCACTAGCATAGTACGGTTGATGATCCCGGTTAGGCAACGGCAAAGCCAGCTGCAGGGACGCACTGATTCCTCGCACACAAAACAAACGGGAGCTTCCAACTGATACTAATATGCGGGAACTACTATGCATAGTAGTAATCATCCTGCCTGCACAGTAACAAGCTGAATACTCGAGTGTATCGGTAGTGCTATGTCTCCGGCTGCAAGTGAGAAGTGAAATGGTTGGCTTTCGGGTTTTCCTCAATTTTGCCGTTGCTTTTCTCGCCTCACAAGCTGACGTCACCGGATCTTTTTCACCTCAGCCCTAAAAAGCTTCAAACGGATCCAAGCACGAGCAACTTGGCAAAGCGATGGCAGAAGTGACGCGCATGCACGAGTGTGCCCCGTGCTATCTGCTAGCTAGCTAGATCTAACTACTGTTAGCTACGGTACCGGTACCGGTACCGGTACGGCACACGGTATGTAGACTGCAGCTTTGGGTGTTGCACATATCCTTGTCTGGAAGATCGATACAAACTTGCAGAGACATGAATGAGCCTGCGGTATTGCGAAGTGTCTTTTTATAAACCAACCGCACCGCCACAATCACAGCAGCCACCATTTCAAAATAATCGCACCATGAATACTGTCACTCCTACCGCTACTAATACAAAAACTAATGATGAAGGTACTGGCAAGTCTCCTCTTCTGTTTGTGGATGATTTGGTTTGGAGTGACGAGATTCTACCCTTTGTGGGTGTTGAACAGTACGCTTTTGTAGGAGTGGTCAGCAAGAAGATCAACAAGGCATACAAAGACTACTGCAAAATTGAACTCCAGAAAAATCCAAGGAAGGTAAAAGATAACCCAGCACGGCATTCACCCAGTCGCTCTTTGGAAATCAAGGACACTCTTTACAGCGAAACGTTCTTTAACCAGCAACGTGCAGAACTCTGGCTCAAGGGCAAATCCAGCAGCAAAACACTCTGATCATTATGATGTTTGCAATGCAATTGCCACAGTTGGAAACATTGCTGTCATGCAGTGGGCACGACAAAAAGGTTTCCCATGGAATGGATGGACATGTGCTAAAGCTGCTCTAAGTGGACATTTGGAACTGCTCCAATGGCTGAGAAAGAACGGTTGTTCGTGGGACTCATGGACATGTCATAAAGCTGCAGAAGGTGGAAATTTGGAAATTTTAATGTGGGCTCGTGGTATTGGTTGCCCATGGAATGCAAATACAAGTGAATATGCTGCGCGAAATGGACATTTGGAAGTTTTAAAGTGGGCTCATGCAAATGGTTGTCCATGGGATTCAAGTACATGCACAAAAGCTGTTCGATATGGACATTTGGATATTTTGAAGTGGTTGCATGCAAACGGTTGTCCATGGGATGAATGGACGTGTCAAGATGCTGCTGAGAATGGCCAGTTGGAAATTTTGAAGTGGGCCCATGCCAATGGTTGTCCACGGTGGGATTGGTGGGCATGTTGTGCTTTGGCTGCTCGAAATGGCCACTTGGAGATCTTGGAGTGGGCTCGTGAGAGCTGGCACCTTTGGGAACTGGCTTGACCTTTGTCGTCCGCCGCAGTGGCCGCTGCAGTGGGGCTGCAGTGGCTACGAATGACCTGCAGGACCGTCCGACGGTTTTCCTCAGGCTTTAAAACGGGCACGACTGACTCATTATCCCGGTTCTCATTAAGGGGTTGTTTAAGGGGATGTTGAAGCTTTAAGGGGTTGTTTAAGGGGATGTTGATATTTAGGGGTTGTTGTTAAGGGGTTGTTATTTAAGGGGATGTTCATTCGTGATAAGGGGTTGTTGTATGGAGTTTCAATGAAGGCTTAAGGAGTTGTTTCGAGGATATAAGGGGATGCTGTTAAGGGGTTGTTTATTTAAGGGTTGTTTAAGGGGATGTTGAGCTTTAAGGGGTTGTTTAAGGAGATGTTGAATATTTAAAGGGTTGTTGTTAAGGGTTGTTTATTTAAGGGATGTTCATTCGTGATAAGGGGTTGTTGTTGGCGTTTCAATGAAGGCTTAAAGGAAGGAGTTGTTTCGAGGATATAAGGGGATGTTGTTAAAGGGTTGTTTATTTAATGGGTTGTTTAAGGGGATGTTGAAGCTTTAACGGGTTGTTTAAGGGGTTGTTTAAGGGGTTGTTTCCAGGATGTTGTCAGTCGTGGCAATTTGAAGATTTTTAAATCCTGAGTGAAAATCGTCGGACGGTCCAGGTTTCCCGTGAAGAAACACTACACAATACAATAAATATTAGTCTAAGTCGAAACGTAGAGACCTGTCCCAGTAAGAAAACCCAAACCCTATGTAAATCTTCATTCTGCTGAATGCTGCATATGCGACACTACTAGCTAGCTAGTACGTGTATAAAAAACCACGAGGCAAAGACTATTCGCACTCACCCACTAATTTGCCCCCTTCCACCCTCTTGTCTGCCCTTCTACTTCCTCGCATTCCTCGATGCACCCCCCTTCCCCTGCCCCCACTTTGCCCTGCCTCATTGCTCTCCCCGTACGCCCACCACCGCAGCCACTGCTCTGACTAGCGTAGCCCCCCTCGCTCCTTAACGTATTTATTTAGTATTTCTTTATATTATTAAATATCGCATTCCTTGAATGCAGGATCTCTGAAGCTTTTAATTCGTATGGTGCTGTATGGTACGGTACGGTATGGTACAGTACGATGCACACAAATATCGTCAACCAAAATTGTCTGCAAAAATCCTAAAAGACTGTCCACTGATAAGTCAGAAAGTAATAATCTAGAATACTAAGAGTGTTCGGGAGAAGTGTTCGGGAGCAGTGTTCAGGAAGTGTTCCCAAATTTGCAGAGGAATGTGATTTTCAGCTTGCCTTTTGATAGCAGGTCGACTGGGGGGCTCCTCGTGTGTCATCAATCCTGATGAAGATGCCTATGTCGGTGGTCCTCTTCCCAACCGTGTCATTGGACCTCCATCTGGAAAGGTATGACCAGTTGGTCATCGACCATAACCACATTGGGTGGAGCAACTTCCTCAAGGGCCGACTCTCCAAACTGTGGTGGAGCAACCATCGGGGAGACTACCTCCATCATGTTCAACAGCATACATCCAAGAAGAATTGTACTGTCTGATATTTGTGGTGATTATATTGAATATAAACGGGAAAGTCACTATGGGTTAGAGAGAGCTATGATGAGGATGGGGGCAGAGAGGGGAGGGCAGGTTAACCTCGGCAGTCTTGCTGCCAGAGCCCTCAACCCCTTTCATTGTTTTTCCTGCTACGGTGGTCCCTGCAGGTATAAGGGTAGGGTTAGAATACAAATAAGTCAGCAAAAACTAAATAAGTATCCTAGGATGGTGCTTTTAAACCAGCTAAAAGCTATTTACATGCATCCTAGTAGGGAGATCTGCTTCTACCAGGAAAAACTCTAAAGCTAGCAAAAGCTATATAACTAGTATTCTAGCTAGCTTGGGGTATCTGCTTCTAGCTTGCTATGGGAATCTGCTTCTAGCTAGAGGATCTGCTTCTAGCTATTTAAGCGTAAGTTAAGCACTAGCTAAGCACTACATGTAGCTGCTTTTAGCTACTAGGGGTATCTGCGTCTATACTGAAACCTTTCTGCCGAGGTTACACAGCTCCGCTGGCTTATTGGTTTCTAAAGGGTATGGGCGTGGTGGACAAGTCGCACACTCAGACTGCTAACAGCTCTGCTAACTATCACAGCGCGCTGCCTGTTCTCACCTCAACCCTACAAAGATACGTTTACTCCCATGGACCCATGGGCCATTCAAACCGCTTCTCTCGAAAGTTTCAACCTGGCTCTATCTTCGGTATACCATGACAAGGGGAACTTACAACCGTAACCATAGCTAGCTAGACCATCATTATCGTCACCATGGAACGACCCTTTTGTGCTTTTTGCTACGCTTCATCAGACAAGCTGCTCAAGTGTGGCCAGTGCCTGCAGAGATTGTACTGCTCCGCAGAGTGTCAGCGCAATGATTGGAAAACCAAACCAGGAGGTGGTTGCCACAAACTCTACTGTGGCATTGCGGGAGAAATCAATGTGGACTACGAAATCAAAGACACTGGAAAAGATGGAGTTGGAGTGGGGGTCTTTGCGCTTCGAGAGTTTGACAAAAATGACATGATCCTTACAGAACGGCCCATTCTCAAGGTTGTCGAGCGCCAACTCGTCTCTCACAATATCAATGAGATTCCCAAAACGGCAGCTCCCCTCTTTGAATCTCTCCTGCCTGTAGATGGTAGATTCCAGCAAAAGTGGGATAAGAACGCCATGGATTGCACCGGTGAGGAGGATGCCAAGAAAGAGTCGGGGCTCTTCCTCGTACTCTCACGCATCAATCATGATTGTCTTGGCAATGCTGATCATCAGTACTTGGCACATCGAGGAATCAAGATTCTTGTTGCGGCCAAACATATCCCAAAGGGACATGAAATCACCATTTCCTACTTGGGATCCTTCAAACCCAAACACGAACGCAACATTCGATTGCTCAGTTATCCCTTCCATTTCATATGCCGTTGTGATGTCTGCACCAATGACGAACTCGACCAAAAGTTGGCGCGGACCAAGGACTTGGATCGAGCGATTCTCACGCTCGGTGCTAAAGGAAAGATTGAAGTGGCCATGCGCAAGGGACGAGCACTACTATCCCTCTACGAGCAACTACAACAATCGACGTGGCTCTACCAACGGACCTATTATGACTTATTCCAAGTCGCCATTACCAAGAAAAAGTACTACAAGGATGCCATGCACTTTATGGAAAAGGCCCATGAAGCCGCCTTGGCGTACACGCAAGATCCACAGCACCCACAAGTTCTCAGGTTGCAGGAACTATTGATCTCGCCCGAGACGCATCGCAACTATCGCATCATCGGATAGACATTGGACCGCGCTTGCGTGGTTGCAATAATGCGAGAACGGTACTGTATCACCAATGTATTTCGTTGACCCATACATCTGCCGTTGTAAAGAAAGAGAACCTAGCATGGCTTACATTAACTACATATAGCTACATCCTCCGGTGTCCTTGGATTGATTCATCACAATAGTGGTTCCAAACTCGGGGGGGGGGGGGATCTGCTTGACTCGCTCCAATGTGGCGGAACATCTATAGATTCAATCGTAGCTAGCTAGTTGTCCCGCCTTTTTCGCTTTTGAGTTTTTGCCCACCCGCCGTATTCTGCCCCCCGAGGAGACAAGAGCATAGACCGGAATCATTGGGATACCACAAACAACTTTAATCGTCTTTGGTTACTGCCACTTGATAACTTTCGCGCCCTGGAAAGCGGTGGCTCAACGTGCCTGTCTATTCCGTGTTCTTGCTTGCTGCTAGTGCCGGTTCACCGTTGTCTGCCGAAGCGGGTGGAGCCGTACCGCCGAGCCCTAGCTCTTTTTGGTACTCGCTGGACGTGGGCTTCTTCATGAGTTCTCGTAGGGCAATGGTCGCATAGGCAGACGAGGGTAACGTGAAGCCTACCACCACTCCTAGCAAAGGGGGTGGGGCATCTGCTGCTGCAGCTGCTGACGCTGATGATGCCAGTTTGATGGGAATATTGTTGAGTTTCATCAAATCCGTCTGGAGCAACGGTTGCACGGGATCCCTGTATTGCACCACTTGCACATCCACATCTGTAGGACGACAAATCAGCTTTCGATAGTCTCCTGGACAACTGGCCAAGTCTCTGTCTTGGATCTTGTGAAACATTTCCATCGTCAACCCATTCTCCGCCAAGATCGAGTCGAAGAGTTTGCTCGATTCGTTGGTTGGCTTGACGCTTTTGGTTCCAAGCAATGGGAGGATCAAGTCTTCCATGGTGTACTTGTTGGCATCGACGTCCTCCTGGGTGACAACCTTGACTGCCGTGGGCTGTTTCGAAGCAGTATTGTTTCTCTCGGGTGCTGTCTTGTCGTCATTGGCATAGACTACATCACCGACCAGGACGGATAATCGTCCCATCGTTTCAATGCGATAGGAAGCCACCTTGTTCCAGAGGAAGCTTTGAACGGCATGCAAGAACATCATGCGCATCGTCTTTCCAATGCACGAAAATGCTCGTTTGTAGTCGAGTGGATTTCGTGCCAGCGATTCCAGAACGGCCACTTCACTGGCCATGAATCTCCCAAACGATCGAAGAATCGATTTGGCACAACTCGATTCGACTTGAGCCCGTTCTCCATCAGTGGCATCATCTTTCAGAGCATCAAAGCGCTGTTGCCACTTTTGTCGTGCTTCCAGTACACGCGGTGCTTCTCCATTCTTGGGTCTCATTATGCAATGCACAATCTGTTGGAAATCTCCCTGTAGCAATGCGACACCAGCCAAATGAGTGTCGTGAAACTTTCCAAATCGTTGCATCCCAAAGTAGTTGATGAATCCGTGATTTCGGAGATTGTCGGCCGCAGTGGTAACAATCTTCTTGGTCGCTTCGAATTTGGTAGTGTCCGTCACCATCATGCTGGCTTCGTCATCAATTTGCACATTGCGCAGCACGACATCGAATCGATTGCCTTTGAGCCGTCCCAATCGGAGTTCATCCGACACGTAACGATAGCTTCCCACACGGACCAATGCCACTCCGCCCCTGCTGGTATGACCACCTCCACGACTACTTTGATAGTTGACCCAGTCAATTTCATGAGGACTTCGATGCTGCAGCGTACAGAATTGGGTGGTAACACCACGTTTGTCTTTCATTCCAGAATATCCGACTCGAACGCGATCATTGCCACGTCCTCCACGACCGCGACCTCTTCCTCCTCGTCCACCAGTGCTCATGCGTTGTGTGATTTGTTTAATGGCCGTGTGGGTATCGCAGTTTTCCTTGTAGAGTACAAATTGGAGATAGGGTGATCCCGGAGGCGCCTTTTGTTTCTTGACTTTGTTGTTATTGCTGTGTTTGCTATTGCGTCCTTTGGATCGATGAAATTGTCCGTGATTGGGCATTTTGGTTTCGTGTCGTAGCGGCCAGAATCGAATGACCTTGTTTCCCTGGTCGTCATCGGCTGTATCGGCCGTGGCAATGGCATGAATGGCCGAGGATTTGATCCATTGATGGACTTGTCGTCGTGTGTCCTTGTCAGCAATGGGAGGGAGTGCTACAAATAATTTTGCTTTAGTTTCCTCCTCTTGTTGTTGTTTCTCAGCTGTGGCATCCTGTTTGAGAAAATCCAAGACCGTCTGTGCTTCTTTTGGTCCCACAATTTTGGCAAATTCAGTTTGTAGATTCTCCCAAGGAGTCTCCTCTTTGGTGGTTTTGTCATTGTCATTGCCAGGCGATTTTTGGTCGTCAGTCTTTTGACTCTTGCTGTTGGCAGCTCCATTTTCTTCTTCTTCTGCTTTTGTTGTGTTGGAGGAATCTTGCTCCTCTCGTTTTCTCTTTTTATCAGTTTTGTCAGATTTGTCATTTTGAGTTTCCGTGTTTGGATTTTGTGGTTTGTCTTCTGGATCTTGACCATCATTATCATTATTATTGTTGTTGGCACTACTAAGAGTAGCTAGTGCTCCATCCCAACCAACTTCATGCACCACAAAATCGGAATATCGAGCCTTGAGGACCGCCGAAAAACCAACATGATCAGGAGACAGATAGACAGAGATTCCAAACTCCTTCTCGTTGGAATCACTGGTAGCTTCAGCAGTCTTGGCAGCTGCATTCTTGGTTTTCTGGTCTTTTTCAGTAGTAGTTTCTGGAGCTGATGACTTGCTTGGATCTTCCTCCTTCTTGGGATCAGCTGTAGCTTTGGCCGCTTCTTCAGTAGTTGCTTCAGTGGAGGGGTCCATGGTGCAGATATATGATACTAGTAGCTAGCTAAGTTGCTTATTATGACAAGGATCTAGCTAGTAGGTAGGTAGGTAGATTGAAAAATAAATGAGATCGAAATGGTGGTGAGACGAGAAAGAGCCAGGGCAAAAAATAAATGAGTGGTTGTCCCGAAGAATTGGATCTTTTGGATCTTTCTCATTGACAATCTGACGTCACTCCAAAAGATCCATTTGGTGGTTGTTCGGCTTTGCAAATATCTTTCTCGAAATTCTCGATCAAGACATGATGCACTCGATCCTTCCACCTTCATTTTATGCTTGCCATGCCCGAGGTAGCTATAATATTCATTATTTTAAAAGCTTGACAGGGCAAGATGATATTCAATCCCCACAAACTAGGTGTGCACAAGGTCTTGCAGTACATTCCCTGGATGGGACGGCTATTGGACATACAGCATCAAGCTCGTGTGCGGCAAGCAGTCAATATCGCGGATTTGCGGAACATTGCTCGTGGGAGAGCGCACAAGATGGTCTTTGATTATTTGGATGGAGGCGCGGACGATGAAATTACACTGCGACGCAATAAGGACGCCTTTTCACAACACGAAATGCACTACAAGGTACTCAGTGGCATACAGCCGCCCTTGGATTTGTCCACCAATATCTTGGGAATGGACGTTCAGCTGCCCTTTTTTGCCTGTCCCACTGCGGGAAACTGCATGTTCCACCATCAAGGAGAAACGGCCGTCGCGAAAGCATCCCATCAACGAAACATGCTCTACGCCATGTCGTGTCTCTCCACCACATCGCTCCCACAAATTCAAAACGAATACCCCAAGCCGGGCAAAGTCTTTCAGCTCTACGTATGGAAAGACCGACAAATTGTCAAGGATTTACTGCAAGAAGCAAAACGTCACAATTTCACGGCATTGGCATTGACCGTCGATGTCTCCTGGATGGGAAATCGAGAACGAGATCCACGCAATGGATTCACCGTACCTCCTAATTACACGCTGCAACAAACCATTCAAGCCATGCAACGACCGGCATGGACGTTTGATTTCCTCTCCCGAAAACCATACGCTTACGCGTGTTTCAACAAGGATGTTCCCGCCGATTCCATGGCACAATTCATTAATTCACAGCTCACTCCTGATTTTAGTTGGCACGATGCCGAATGGTTGCTGGGAGAATGGAATTTGCCACACACGGCCATTAAAGGAGTTGTGCGGCCCGACGATGCCGTGACTGCCAAACAAGTCGGATTCTCCACAGTTTGGATTTCCAATCATGGAGGACGACAACTCGAAACGGCACCCGCCACCATCGATGTACTGCCACAAATTCGACATGCCGTAGGACCTGACATGGGCATTATTCTCGATGGCGGGATTCAACGAGGTACCGATATCGCCAAGGCGATTGCCCTCGGTGCCAATGGTGTTGGCATTGGAAAACCATATCTCTGGGGATTGGCCGCCGGAGGACAAGCCGGAGTTGAAAAAGCATTTGATATCTTGCATCGAGAACTCGATCGTGCCATGGGGCTCCTCGGGACGCCGACCATTGCCGATTTGCAACGGGAAGGACCCAATCTGATTCAAAAACGACAAGGCTCTGTTCGAGATTATCCCGATCGATACGCCCACGACAGAGGGTATGGTGGTGGGGTTGTGTAGCCTAAAATTACAAACAAACAAAAAAACACGGATAGGCCCCCAGTGGACGGATCATCACTGTGCTGCAGCCAAAGCTTTGTAGCCTAAAATTACAGTGTAGCCAGCCAGAAAGACTCCACACATGAATCGGGAACTTCGGCTGTTCTTTGCTTATAAGCCTGGCCCCCGGCGGCTGGCTTCCGTAGATAATTTCCCTACTCTAAAACCCCCCTCATCGTCAGGCTTCCTGGTGTCGCAAAACCACGTTTCCAGCAGAGAGATCGAGCCAAGGGCAGCGGGCTCCTTCATTGTTGCAAGCACTTTCTGCACTTGTGGTTCAGACTTGACTGTGGGAAATACCCGGGCCTCGGCTCGTGGGTCGTCCTCAAGCACATCTCGTCTGAATCCGTTATTAGACATTCATTTTTTTTGTGTGGTTCAGTACACAGCACAATTGCACCAAGATACAGCTCAGATAGACATCAACAGGGGGTTTAGAGTAGTCTATAGGTAGATTATCTACAGAAGCCAGCCGGGGCCATGCTTTTAATCAAAGAACAGTCGAAATTCAGGACTGGGTTCTGTGGGATCAGGGGCGATTGAGGACCATCGCGGGGGCCAAAGGGTTTGGCTTTGTGGGATCCCCGGAGACATAGTAGCTCTCACTCAGCAATCACATTTTGGAATGCATGGAGGTCTTGGCAACGATGCCACCAAGAACCACACCAATTAATTGGCAAACATTTTGTGATTGAACTGGTCTTCCTGCAGGCACTTGTCCTTCTGACCAACAAAAAAAGTCTCCCCATCACAAACTGCATTTGGTCTTGCATTGACTCTCTGCTTCCCAAATGCGAGCTCAAGGTATGCAGTGTGCTTGTTTGGCGACTTTACTTGCACCCCATAGCATTCTGTGGTGTCCAAACAAACATCGTAGGAAACTGCAAAGAAAGGAGCCACACAGTCACGACTCATGTGGTGTTCATCACAAGTCTCATACCGAGTACCATCATAATCCCTGAGAAAAGTGCTACGTGAATGGAGTGCGATGCCACTTTCTCCTTGATTAATCACCTTCAACAGGACCAACTCCATGGGCCCGCATGTCAACATCATCATGCTAAACAGCTCTGTACCTGCGGGGCAAGATGCACAGCTTCCAAACTGCTCTCTTCCAAAAAGACCACTGACCGTTCCCTGGGCAACATTCTCTCCATCCATGAAGATTGCATACTGTCCAGGGGCGAACACGCCACGGTTGACCTTGCTTGAAATTGTGAAGACATAGCAAGAATCAGTTGGGAATCATGTCTCCTCCAAGATTGTTGCGAATGCATATTCTTGTGGGTAGGAGTCTTGCTCAAACAGGATCTCCCCTGTGCTGTTGTTAACAAGATTCCACACAACATCTCCAGGGAGCCTATCAAGTGTCAAGGAAAGCCGCAGGAGAGACCTGCCAGTGGGGCACTCCTTTCTTCCTGGCAGCGAGTACACCGCTGTGACTCCACCAATGCCATCTTCAGGAGCACCAATTGCCAGCTCCTTGCCATTAGAAGACAAGGCAATTGGGTAGTGGGTCAAAGGAAAAGGATCACTAACATCATCCCAGGATTCAGTTTTGGATTCCCAAACAAGAACTCTAACCTTGGTACCAAGCCTGAAGGCAATCGTAATTCCATCACCTGAGAGAGACAAGGCATTGTTCTTCTCGGGACGCTCATTGTCAATGCAACCAGTAGTGTTCATTCCTGGGGCAGCCCGAGCAATCCAATTGCCATCATTGTTTCGTGCATGAACATGAAGCTGAGTACCTTGGCAATTCGGGAAGCCATGAGCCAGAACAGTGCCGTCTTGGTTCAATGCCACTGATAGTTCATAGCCCAGTGTGTTCAATTGAGACTCAAATCGGATCTCAGTCTCCATATTGTAGGAACCCACAATTCGACTCCATGCCATGACAACAATGTACTCATTTGTAGCCACACTAAAGCCCAGGTTTGTATCGAATTCCTTCATCTGTGTCTGCACAGCAAGCGTGCTACCATCGCCACTCAATGACATGGAATGTACATCAGCCAGGGTACCATTCCTGGTAACATTTAAATCTGCTCGAAACTCAAATAATCCCTCTTGGGCCTCATAGACTCGAATCACATTGGGAGCCTGGCCAGCAGCAACAAGCAACGACGTTGCGAGAACTGTACCATCATTAGATAATGCAAAGGAAAAAACCAGTGGGAACTCTTGAGAACGGGTGCAACCCTCAAAGTTGCATTTGTAGATTTGAAGACGTCGGTAGGCATCCTGGACAGCAACAGTAAGGGGAGCTTTGAAGCTTGGATTGCTGACCACATTGAAGGGTCCAGAAGAGAGGCCCAGTACTCCTGCCCCAAATCTTGAGCCAGCATCCCCAATAATAGTGTCTCGAAGGATCCAGGAGGACCCAACCTTGTCGTAGATGCGTACACGGTCCTGCAACACTTCCGACACAGCCAAGGACCCCCTGGACAGATCCAAGGCATATCCAGAGAAGGAGCCGGCGACCCCATTGAAGAGCCTTCTTTGCCACTCATCTTTTGGTTGCTCACAGTAGAAGTACCCAGTGCTGACATATCCATCTTTTTCGGCTCCACAAGCATACTGAGATGTGCTGACACATGTAGATTCGCAGCAATCACCACCATCCATTTTGAACTCAGGTGTGTTGAAAAAGGGGTCACAGTGACCGTTGCGAACTGAAACAAGGTGTGAGTATACAGAGTTTTAGAGCATTTGAAGCACATGATTCATGATGAACGTACCGGGTGGGATTTCACAGAGGCTTCCAGAGCTGTCAAGAGAACACACACAGTCTCCACCACTGCACTTTCCATCATAGAGACATGGGTTTGAGGATTCATCACAGGCACGACACAGAAACTCAGTAGAAATCTCATTCCCAAGTCCCTGATTCTGGTTATCAGCGATGGCTTCTTCAGCGAAGAACCAAGAAAAGCCAACTGGGGAGCTAGAGCTCAAGTGTGTCCCCATTTCCATGTAGTCACTGAGGAAAGCAACAGAGAAATTTTTGGCAGAGAATCCCTTGAATCCATGAAAGGTGTACTTGAAAAAGTCTCCAATATCAGAACCAACATCATCCTGTCCGTCAGATAAAGCATTAGAAGGGACCCTGCCAGCGTGAGGCAAGAGAACAGAAGAAGTCAAAGCCCAACGTCCACCAGTGAACATGACAACATCATATTCGCCATTGCTGTATTCATGGATGTAGACTGGTCGATGGTATGCTTCCACCAGCATGCCGTTGCCCAAGTCATTGGACTGGTAGCCTCTTGCCCAATCCCTGGTACTGGCAAACTCATCAGTCCGAGCATCAAGATCAATCGATGAGCAGGGGTGGACAAACTCACATCTGAGCCCATACCAACCATCATCACAGTCACAGACAGCATTGCTGCAGGTTCCTTTGCCGCCACAGTCATCACTTCCTTCTGCATCTTCATTGGAACAATCAAAACAGAAGAGGCTGAACGGTTCCAGGACCACTTCGCGGTTTGTTTCATCACGGACAAACCACTGGATTCTCCCAGTCTCTGTGATATCATAGGTGTCTGTTTCGGAAGATCTTGCAATCCAGTCACAAGGACCTGAATCATCCTGATCGTCCTTTGGCTGCACCCGAAAAGTCCAGGCGTTAATGTCATTGCAGTACCCAAAAACGCCTCTACCAGGAGTGTCGATTACCACAGAGCGTCTCTCCACATACTCTGCTCGCCACTCTAGACCAGAACCTGTTGAGAAATCCAGGTCATAGATGCCATTGAAAGCTCCAAGAGAGGGAACAAAATTATCTCCCATATTCACAATGACGGTGTTGCACATGTATTTACCAGAGGTTCGAAAAACCACAATAGTAATCCATCCAGCCACCATAACAACAAGGATCAAAAGGAAAATCCCCGCCTTCCAAGAACGTTGTAACAATCCTTGTTCTCCTGCTGGTTTGCAAACTTGGAAGTTGACGACATCATTGGCAGCACTCTGCAGGCTGTTTCCCATGAAGCCTGCCTTGGCAAGATCAAATGCAACATTGTCGATATCCGCCATGAAATGGAGAGCGGCAAAATTGAGCATGATTCCCAATACACTGTCAACTTGCATGGTCAAAATGTAGATGGTCAAAAGTAGGAGTAGTCCAGCAAAGAGCTGAGCAATACAAGAAAGAAGCCAAGTAGCATATGTTGCTCCAGGATGTTTTTCTAGCACCTCTGGGTGGAAGCCATCTTTAAACCTGGAGAGGGAAAATTTGGTTGGTGACATGAGGGTCTGATGAAAAAGGGACATGCAGGAGATTAAAGGCTTACTTGGCGACAACTTCAAGGAAGTCCGATTGAAACGCCAAGGCCTGGAAAAGGGCGACACCTTGAGCAATCGTGACGATCAAGTCCACATTGGGTGGCATATCGAGTCCATTTCCACTCCAGTCGATAATGTCAATCAATGTCAGCAGAATGGTAGTGATCTATGTGGCAAGGTATTGAAAAGATGAGGGGATACTGACAAACTGGTACGACGAAGCCTTGTACAGTAGCTTTTCTGGATACTCGTTGACACATACCTGGATGACATAGACAAAAACAGCATACCAAAATGCAAAGCTATCGGCACTGCACAAATAGAAGAGTGAGTAGGTACTTTCACTGTAGGGATTATGCCACTCGGAGTCATCCTTCTTGTCCTCATCACTGGCCGAAGTCATCACCGAAAGTGTGGGCACTGCACATTCCTCCAGTTTCTGTTTGTCTTGGGACTGAGCCTGAGCCTGAGCCAGCATGATTGGCTTGAGGAGGCTTGCCAATGTTGCCAGATCTTTGGGGGTCAGCGAATCCATGATGGTAGAAACCCCACTGGCGACGGTGAAAGACGAAGATCTGGCCATGGCAAACCCTTCTGTTGGTGACTTTTTGGGTTGTTCAATATCCATCATTTAAAAGGAATCCACATCCACTTCATCCGTCACCTGTAGATGAGTATGAGGATGGGGAAGGCTTTCGCTCTTGATGGTGGGAGGTACGGTCATTCCGACCCCTTCCTTGTCCGGTGGGGTCATCCTAACGATTGGTTGGCTGTGGCTTTTGTTGGTACCGGTAGTATCAAATCAAGGCAGAATCTTGACTTCTCAGCTTGCTTCTCTAAAGGGCAATGATGGACCAGAAGTTTGAGCTATCGCTAAGGCTGTCAAGGGGTATGGAAAATACTCGATGGTAGGAACAACGACTTTAAAGGAAAGCTCGATGGATACCCTCCAAATTTGTGCAGCCGAATAAATGCGGAGGACGGATCTCGAGGACTTGGTGTGGGCATCGTATCACGCGTCAGCATCAACTGGCAGGCACATGTCAGCGACAACGTGAATGCCATAATATTATTGCAAACCACGTACTGCGGTGCTTGGAACAAGTTGGAACACCCGCGACGAAATGATGCAAAAGTCATTTGTGGCAAAACCCGTGGTTGCCAGTTCTCTCTACAGGCATATGACCGAAAAGAACTTTACAACACGAATTCTACAAAGATGACTGGCTCAACCGGTACTTGAAAGATTTAAACCTTGTCCGAAGACAAAGACACGCATTTACATGACCCAGAAAAGAACTCCACACTTATTGTTGGCCGGTCCCAGAGAACACGTACGTCAGTCAAAGAAAAGAAGCACTTTTTAAAGAGCACTCATAGCTATCTATAGCCTCAACTCTAATCGAACTGACGCGCTCATTGAACCTCGATCCAAGATCTTGATGTCATTCTTCGATCGGACCTCTATAGGATTTTAGCGCGAAGATTCAACAAGAAGATGATGCTACTGTACGCATGTATGCAAGCTAGTATCGCTCTACAGCGGCTACTTCTCTTGAAGAAGACTCCAGATCGACGGATCAATTCGATTCGATGTTTTGAGCGAACGGATCCGAGCTAATGCAACGACTATTGAGCGACTTCAACGATGATGTCCTCGTGTTCAGTTGTCGTTGTCTTGGAAGTTGCATGCAGTGAGTTATATTCCAAGCCGTGTTCTTGGATCGGATCTTCCGTGGGTATCCGTACGTACTGTAGACTCCATGGCGAATCTAGATGTCAGGCTGATCCTTGAACAGACATTGCACTTTCTCCTTGAGGAAAGAGCAGGACTTTGCTGACAAGCCACTGATATCCTACCCAAGCATGCACTCCCTGCACTTGTGGCATGGCGGAAACATCATCATTCATTCGGAGACCTTCATTAATTGGCAACTGCGATGAAACTCTTAGCTCATAACGATGGATGCAGGCATGATGCATGACACCTTTACCAGCAGCGGGTACTACAGAAATGGCACGGCTCTTTATCACGAGGAGAACCATGATGAGATTGATTGACTTTGCGGTTCGATGCTTCTCTTTCACGAAGTGACAATTGTAATGATGCCTGCTTTTCTATGGAGCGGTCGTGAACCCAATGGCGGCAGTGCTACTATTACTATTACAAGCGGCAGATACGACTACTGTTCTTAGTAAGGAACGAAACACTTAATCTGCAGGCAGCTTCTTCTGGTGAAGGGACCATTTCACCTCCTCTTCCACAGATCAGCGCATGTCTGTACGGGTACTATAATTTTAAGCTAGAGTGACCGACTAACAACATCGACTGAAGGATTCAAATTTACAGTTTGCTGCAATAGCCGTCGATTCGATTTCGGCTGAGAGTGGTTGTGTCATGTTCGACAAACTTCTTTCGATCAATGGATGCGTCCAAATGCATTGAATGGCTCCTATATAACTAATACACACTCTCACAAACCATCCCAGCCATGCAACGACCGGCATGGACTGGACGTTTGATTTCCTCTCCCGCAAACCGTACGCTACTTGCCACCTACGGGTACGATATCTTATTGATGAGAACGTTGTAGCTGGCTATATATAGCTAGCCATCTGAAGCTGCAAAAGGGAGTTTGGAGTAGGGCGAGGCCCATGCTCTAGCTCTACCGGTAGCTATGAAAGAAGAGTTGAAAATTCAGGATTGGGCTAAAGGTAGTCATGCAACTTCATGCGCATACGACAGGAGCCTGAACCTGGTTCCTGGCACAGGCGTTTGTTGCGTTTTTAGAGCTCGGGTGCAAGAAGGCACATTCTTCTAGATTTTTGAAAAGACTACTGCAGGAAACTAACCCAAAGACTTGCTTGAACTAAGAAACAAGCTTCTTACAACCATCATTAATTTCGACTGTTCTTTGCTTTTAAAGGACACTGGAGGTGTAATAGATATACCGGGCAAGCTGACTTAAAAAAGATGGGCCGGCATAGTAATATTGTTGAAGTTTGGCTGTAAGGTAGTGTCATTAGATTTTTCCGTCTGAGAAAGTGACGGGGTAGCTTATGGGAGTTTAGAGGTGTGCAACATGAGACGTTAGATTTTTCCATCTGAGAAAGTGGCGTGGTAGCTTACGGGAGTTTAGAGGTGTGCAAATGTGAGGAAATATTCAGGATCCGTTGCTACGATTTTTAAAAAAAGAGAATGTGTAAGAAATTTGGAGGCCCAAGAGGGGCTAACATTTTTAGAAAAACTCTAACCCTAAGGATAAACAACCAACCAAAACCAACCAAACCACCACCACAATAAACGGGGTCAGAGATCACCGGGTCTGCCTGGTATATAAAAGCCTGGCCCCGGCTGGCTTCCGTAGATAATTTCCCTACTCTAAAACCCCCTTATCATTCTTTCTTTGCTCCCCTCGTTCGACTTCTCAATTCTTGAGCGTGTTGCCTCTGTCACATCCGCCATGGCAGAGGCAATGGTCCATCTTTGGCTGCCGGTGGTAAGCAGATGAGTGGACAACTTCTTGCTCTTGTGAGATCAGGATGGCTTATTTTTGCATTCACAGCCAATGTTGACTTCTTGGTGAGGTCATCGCCGTTAAAGATAGGCCACAATGAGAAATGGTCTACACTGGAAACTCTTGGCAGCTATGGATTATCACTATAGTGCACCTTACGAATTCCAGCAGTCGCATAGCTATGGGAATGGATTGTCAACCAAACCACTAGAATGCACAACCTCCAATGGGACTCGGAAGTGGTCCTCCTGTAATATTCCACAAGCTGACTTCAACCTACAGCTGGGCTTGGTGATGGGAAAGCACCTGGAATATAGCACTCATTCGGGTCCAAGCATGTTTCATAGGAAGCCCACCGAGTATTACAGTTCTCTCCGTGCCAACTCTAAGCCAGTGGTATGTATACTGGTATTGCCGACAGCTGATACTTCCAACAGGTGCCACGCGGTAGTGCCTCACAGGACATCATCATCATGCTTCCCGGCATCTTGGGAATCCAAAGGCATGAACAGACCGCTGGCATCGATCCTGACTTAGGCTAGAAGAACTGAAAGAGAGTATACCTCATGGTGTTGAAATTGGACTCAATTTGCAATTCGTTACCGCTACTACACTCGCTACCGACAATGTTGCCTTTTCGCTACTATCATCCTCTTTGTTGAAAGCAGCACTGAATCAACAAGGCAGTATAGTAGTAGTACTGGTAGCAGTAGCGATCGGCTTGCTACAAGGTGGAGCCAACACAGCGTCCCCAGCAAGCAAGCAAATACGATTGCGTGGAAGCAGTCAAGCAGTCAACACAGCGAATTTTGCCTTTGAACACGTCGTCAACAACGCAACGACTGGAGCATCCGGGCTGACAATAACACAACGCTATCATTTACGGTATCAATCTGGATCCTCCTGCCAAAAACTATCGAATCAATGAAATAAGATATTCTTTTTTTTAAAAAAAAACCTGTAGAAATGAATGAGTGCTTCTAGCTAGGGTGGCTGCGAAACATTCTGACTTGGTGCCTGGGTGTTCCACCAGTCCTCCTCCTGAGGGCACATGCCCACATAAAAATTCTCCCCTGCACAAATTGCAGTCACCGGTTTTGCATTTTCCCTCTGCTCCCCAAACACCAGCTCAAGGTATGCATTGTACTTCAACGGGGAAAGAACTCGTACCCCATAGCACTCTGCTGGGTCCAGGCATGCATCATGAAAAACTGGTATCAACTTTTCACAGTCCGATATGCTATGCTCGTTGCAATTTTGGTATATAGTGAACCATTCGAACGTCTCATCAGTCGTGTTTGCCCACAGCTGTGCTTCCCACCTTTCTCGATACCTACCATACGCGTTATCGGCATGAAGTATAGTAAAATTGGCTCCTTGATCAATCATCTCCTTCAGAGCCCAATCCATCGGTCCACATGTCAACATCATCATGGTAAACTGCTCTGTACCTGTGGGGCAAGAGGCACAGCTTCCAAACTGCTCTCTTGCAAAAAGATCACTAACCGTTCCCTGGGCAACGTTCTCTCCATCCATGAAGATTGCATAACTTCCAGGAGCTAGCAGGCCCCGATTCCTCTTGTTGTAAATTGTAAACACATAGCAAGAATCAGCTGGGACACAAGTCTCCTCCAAAATTGTTGCAAAGGTGTATTCTTGTGGGTAGGAGTCTTGCTGAAAAAGAACCTCACCTGCTCTGTTGTTGACTAGGCTCCACACTACATCTCCAGGCAGTCTATCAAGAGTCAGTGAGAGGCGTAGAAGTGACATACCACTGGGGCACTGCTTTCTTCCGGGTAGTGTGTAGACTGTTGTGACCCCTCCAATGCCGTCTTTAGGGGAACCAATTGCAAGTTCGGTGCCATCTGAAGACATAGCCACAGGATAATGAATCAACGGAAAGGGATCACCAATGGGATTCCAGTTTTCAGACTCCCAATGGAAATAGCTCACTTTGGTTCCAACCCTGAAGGCAATCCTGTCTCCATCACCCGAGAGTGCTAGGGCGTTGTTCTTGTCCGGACGCTTATTTTCCATGCAAGCTGTGGTGTTGAGCGAAGGTGCTGTGCGAGCTACCCATCCTAGCTCACCATTGATCTCTTTGATCTGTATTTGAGTTCCTTTACATTCAGGGAAGCCATAGGCAAGAACATTCCCATGATGGTTGAATGACAGTGACAGTGGGAAGTGCAAAGTGTTAAGAGGACTCTCGAAGCGGAACTCAGCCTCCACTTCATATGCACTGGATGATTCATTCCATGCCATGACAACAACATTTTCATCCATAACGACTTCAAAGTTACTGGCTTCATCAAAATCAGTCATTTGAGTTTGAACAGCAAGTCTGTCACCTTCAGAACTCAACGCCATGGACAAGAGGTTGCTTGCCATCGTGTTTCTCCGAATGATGACAGTGTCTCTCATCTGAAATATACCATCCACAGTCTTGTAGACATTGATAGCACGGGGTGGTTCATTTAGGACATGCAAAGAAGTTGCCAAGACAGTCCCATCATCTGATAAAGCAAAATCCTGAACCAACTCAATCGCTTGACTTTGAGAACAGCCATCAACGTTACACTTGTAGATTCGAAGAGTTCGGAAGCCATCCTGGACAGCAACAGTAAGGGGAGCTCTGAAGCTAGGGTTGTTGACCACATTGAAGGGGCCAGATGAGAGACCCAATACTCCTGTTCCAAAATATGTGTTTGGCGATCCCAAAATAGTATCTCGAAGGACCCAGGAGGACCCAACCTTGTCGTAGATTCGGACACGGTCCTGCAACAGTTCCGACACAGCCAATGACCCCCTGGACAGATCTACTGCAAAACCAGAGAAGGAGCCGGCGTCTCCATTGAAGTGTTTGCTTTGCCACTTATCATTTGGTTGCCCACAGTGGAAGTACCCAGTGCTGACATATCCATCTTTTTCGGCTCCACAAGCATACTGAGATGTGCTGACACAAGTTGATTCACAGCAATCACCACCATCCATTTTGAACTCAGGTTTGTTGAAAAAGGGGTCACAGTGACCGTTGCGAACTGAAACAAGGTGAGAGTATGCAGAGTTTTAGAGCTGTTAAAGCATGTGCTTAAAATAAACAGACTCATGAACGTACCCGGTGGGATTTCACAGAGGCTTCCAGAGCTGTCAAGAGAACACACACAGTCTCCACCACTGCACTTTCCATCATAGAGACAGGGGTTTGAAGATTCGTCACAGGCACGACAAAGAAACTCAGTAGAAATCCCATTCCCAATTCCCTGATTCTGGTTATCAGCGATGGCTTCTTCAGCGAAGAACCAAGAGAAGCCAACTGGGGAGCTGGAGCTCAAATGTGTCCCCATTTCCATGTAGTCACTTAGGAAAGCAACAGAAAGGTTGGTAGAAAAGCCCTTATATCCATGGAAGGCATGCTTGAAGTAGTTTCCAATATCAGAACCAACATCATCGTGTCCATCCGAGAGTTCATAGGAAGGGATTCTGCCAGCATAAGGCAAGAAAACAGAAGACGTCAAAGCCCAGCGCCCACCAGTGAACATGACAACATCAAAGTCGCCACTCTCATACTCGTGGATGTAGACTGGTCGATGGTATGCTTCCACCAGTGTGCTGTCACCCAATTCAATGGACTGGTAATTGCTTGCCCAATCCCTGGTACTGGCAAACTTATCAGTCCTAGCATCAAGGTTGATCCAAGGGCAGGGGCGGACAAATTCACACCGGAGCCCGTACCAACCATCCTCACAGTCACAGACAGCATTGCTGCAGGTTCCTTTGCCGCCACAGTCATCACTTCCTTCCGCATCTTCATTGGAACAGTCGAAGCAAAAGAGGCTGAACGGTTCCAGGACCACTTCGCGGTTTGTTTCATCACGGACAAACCACTGGATTCTTCCAGTCTCTGTGATATCATAGGTGTCTGTTTCGGAAGATCTGGCAATCCAGTCACAAGGACCTGAGTCCTCCTGATTTTCTTTTGGTTGTACTCGAAAAGTCCAAGCATTGATGTCATTGCAGTACCCAAAAACACCTCTACCATGTGCATCAATTTCCACAGAGCGCCTCTCCAGATACTCCGCTCGCCACTCCAGCCCGGACCCAGTTGAGAAATCCAGGTCATAGATGCCATTAAATGTTCCAAGGGAGGGAACAAAACTATCTCCCATATTCACAATGATGGTGTTGCACATGTATTTACCAGAGGTTCGAAAAACCACAATCGTAACATATCCAGTGATCATAACAACAAGGATCAATAGGAAAACCCCTGCCTTCCACGAACGTAGTAGAAGTCCTTGATCTTCTGATGGTTTGCGGACTTGGAAGTTGACGACATCATTGGCAGCGCTCTGGAGTCTGTTTCCCACAAAGCCTGCCTTGGCGAGGTCGAACGCCACATTGTCAATATCAGCCATGAAATGGAGAGCGGCAAAATTGAGCATGATTCCCAATACACTGTCAACTTGCATGGTCAAGATGTAGATGGTCAAAAGTAGGAGGAGGCCAGCCATGAGCTGAGCAATACAAGAAAGAAGCCAAGTAGCATAGGTTGCTCCAGGATGTTTTTCCAGAACCTCAGGGTGGAAGCCATCCTTCAATCTGGAGAGGGAAAATGTGGTTGGAACATGAGAGATGGATGGAGCTGGAATCGACAGGAGAACAAAAGACTTACTTGGCGACAACTTCGAGGAGGTCCGATTGAAACGCCAAGGCCTGGAAAAGGGCAACACCTTGAGCAATAGTAACGATCAAGTCAACATTGGGTGGCATATCGAGTCCATTTCCACCCCAGTCAACAATGTCAATGAGTGTCAGCAGAATGGTAGTGATCTATGTGGCAAGATATTGAAAAAGGTGAGCGGATACTGGCCAACTCAACTGGCACGACGAAGCCTTAGGTTGTACGGTAGCTTTTCTGGACACTCGTTGACACTTACCTGGATGACATAGACAAAAAAGGCATACCAAAATGCAAAGCTATCGGCACTGCACAAGTAGAAGAGAGAGTAGGTACTTTCGCTGTAGGGATTATGCCACTCTGAGTCATCCTTCTTGTCACTGGCCGAAGTCGTCACCGAAGGTGTGGGCACTGCACATTCCTCCAATTCCTTTTTCTTTCCATCTGCAGCAAGGATGATAGGCTTGAGTAGGTGTGCGAGTGTTTCCACATCCTTGGGGTTCAGCGATTCCATAAAGGTAGATACACCACTAGGAATGGTGAAGGACGAGGATTTGACCGTAGGTACACCTTCTTCTTTTGGTGATTTTTTGGGTTGTTCAATATCCATCATTAAGGAATCCACATCCACTTCATCCGTCACCTGCAGAAGAGGATGGTTGTGGCTCTTGATGGTGGGAGGTACGGTCATTCCGACCCCTTCCTTGTCCGGTGGGGTCATCCTAACGATTGGTTGGCTGTGGCTTTTGTTGGTAGTATCAACTCACTGCAGAATCTTGGCTTCTCAGCTTGCTTCTCTAGAGGGCACTGATGGACCAGAAGTTTGAGCTATGGCTATGAGGCTGTCAAGAGGTACGAGGTACAGCAACTTCAAAGTGCGAGAGTGTAGGAGTCCACCGCCTGATAAATTGAGGAGGGAGATTGTGTTGACACGGGGCAACAAACAAACTAAAAAATTTGGTGCAAGCAAAAGTTTTTTTCGTGGTACCAACCCCGTACACATGTACGACTGTACTCGAAAAATGATCTTGTGCGTGGGCCTTGAGGTTTCCGGGTCAGGAGGTTGATGACCGGTACCGTTGCATGGTTGATTGCCAGTTCACAGAACAGAGGTGTCAAAAGAACTCCACACACTTCGTGCATCACTCAATGCGACACTTCCCAATGGAACGTTCAAGACGTCAGTCACCCACAGCTTAAATTTATCTACCGTACTGGACTGGGGTTGCGGGAATACGTGTTTTGCGATTGCCAGGTTTCATTGTTTCTTTTGGAAGAATGACTGAAAATAGAAGAATGAGACAATCTGGAGGATTGCAAAAACTCGGAAGCATGACTCAAAGTGGAATATCCACCCCAACCAGCAGTTTCAAAACCCAAAGGACGTCGAAGTGCTTATTGGAAAGCCCATTCCCCGCAACTCAAACCGTGCCGTGTAAACAAACACGTCATTTATTTGGTCATCTCGATCCTTTTCCCCTGAGATCCAAGATCGCAGCAACGGTTCTTTTCTTTTTTTCATGCAATGGATCAGCAGAGTGTATTTATTTAAGGGGCCTTCACGCAATATTTTTGTAGGGCACGCTAATTAAACCATATGACAATGGCCAACCAGCGGCAACAAGAGCGGCAACAACACACACCATGACTACTGACATCTTATTGGAACCTACGGTGGCCATATTGGGTGGTCTCATAGTCGGTTTCATGCAGGTTAACGATCCCGTTGATTGGCATGTCTTAAAATAGCGGTTGCGCCGTCATGGTCGCTCCCTCGAACCTTAGAGGCGTCATGGTCGCGTGCTTGGATGCGATTGATCATTCCATTCGTCACAATGTTGCTGTTCGCGCCATTCACGTAGATCTATCTATTTAGTATTTTTTTTTCTTTTCCTTCATGAGGCTTTGGTCGAGTAAAGCTTACGTACCTCTTCGCCGTGCGTTTCAGGACGAGAGCCGAGCCGAGTCGAGCCGAGTCCACAGAAGCAAGGCAACACCATTTTAGCTCATCGTTTGTATATATACTAGTACCCTCTTGTAACCAGCCATCTCCTGCATGGCTGGAAGGCGTATACTCTCTCTATGCATAGTGTCAGTTCGTCTGTACGTGTTATAGTTTGTTAAGTTTGGATATGAAGAAGAGCCTCATTGGAGATGCGGGGGTTGCCATGGAGTAGGTAGCGCCCCTGTACCCCACAGCAGTCCCAACCTCCTGTGTGGATTCGATTCGTGCTGATCTTCCCAGCTTCTTGTGTACCTGAGTGAGTGCTTTTGGTTTTCATAGGACTGACATGCAAGGTCGCAAGCTTGGAGGAAAGCTAGGAACAAGATTCGTGACCGGAAACCACGGAAATCGGAAATCGACTCGGCTCGTCGACCCTGGACCGTTCGAGAAGGTATCCATAGTCAAGGGTGCTCTAAAAGCTGGTACCAATATCTTCTTGTTCTTGACCTGGCTATAGTTCGAGCGGCCGACGAGTGCGAGCGACCGCCATTGTCGATCACGAATATATCGTACAGAAAAGATAGCGATTTCCCCAGTTGCCCACTTCGGAAACCTGCCAAAACACATCCTGGTACCTCTTCCAAGTGTCGCGTGTCGCGGCTCACATTTTTGATCGATTCGTCATTTGCGAATAACTCGTGGCTCGCAAGGAAAGATATATACGCCTGTTCATCGTGACTTCCAGAGTCACCTTCAAGCTGCTGTGCAAGGATTCAAGGCTACCAACAATAGAGGACATCCTACTTGGTCATCCTCTACGACTGTAGCAGTGCACGCCTTCAGGACCTCATTTGGATTTCCGTGAAGCCACGTAGCCCAATATAGCTTCCGTACCAGCTGTATGCAAACCCCAGCAATACCACTATCTTCCGCTGACTCCGTGTTCCCCGCTACTACTACTACTACTACTCCGGACTCAGTCACAGCTCCTATTCACCCTCCACCCGCTGCCGCGGCTGCTTTCATTACAGCTACTGCTGCAATTTCCCCCAATCCCACCATGGCTCCCACTACCACCCGTATACTTATCCTCCTGAATCCCTTGTCACCTTTCCTGTTCCAGGAAATTACTATTACCCAGGTTCACTGCTGCCGGTCTTGGCGGCACTGATACAAGAACCCTCTCGTTTTGGCTGTTGGGTACATAAACAACCTAGTTCTATTCTTAGATGGATGCCCATCATTTCGGGCTCTCTGGAGCAATCGTCTGATTGCGGTTGAGAAGAAAGCTCGTCCTTTTAGTATTGGGCACATTATGCGCCGTGACATTGCCAAGTATGGCAGAAACCATGTCTGCTTGCTTGATTCGATTCAATCATAGCCCAAAATGTAGGCTTCAACAATGTCCTTCCTCCACACGCACAGTTCTCTTGCAGCTGCAAAGAGTCGACATTGGGACCAATCTGTGACTTTTTTCGCCATCGGCGTTTTGATGATATTCAAGCCGTGTTCTTCGGTCGGATCTTCTGTGGGATAATCCTGCATGGTCAATGCACTTTCTCCTTCACGCAAAAGCAAGACTTTGTTCCATGGCAAGCCACTGTTATCCATGCAAGCATGTACTTCCTGCGCTTGTGGCGGAAACGAATGGTTCTGCACTTGATTCATTCGGAGACCTTCATTGACAACTGCGATGAAACTCGTAATGATCGATGCATGCATGGTGCATGACACCTTTACCAGCAGCGGGTACTACAACACAAATGTGGCACTGCTCTTGAGAAGAACCCTGAAATTAATTGACTTTGCGGTTCGATGCATGCTTCTTTTGGTGGATGGTGGAGGGTGGAGCCTCTTTCACGGAGCCACAATGATGCCGCCGTGAACTGTTGATTCCGCTGAGGGTGGCTGTGTCATGTTCGATCAACGGATGCTTGCACATTGAATGGCTCGTAACTACACACTCTCACAAACCATCCAAGCCATGGCATGCAACCACCGGCATGGACTGGTCTTCTTAAGTTGATTTCCGAAAACCGTATGCTACAGTAGTTCTAGGTACGATGACGAATGGTTGTTAGGAGACTGAATTTGTTGCCTCACACTGCCATCAAATGATCGAGTCGTATATGGCCCAACGATGCCTTCACTGCCAAGCAAATTGGATTCTCCACTAATCATGGAGGACGACAACTCGAAACGGCACCCGCCACCATCCATGCACTGCCACAAATTCGACTGCCACAAATTCGACTGCCACAGGCCCGGGCAGGGGGGGTATTCAACGTGGCACTGACAGATAATGCGATTGCCTGCGGTGCCAAGCAAATTGGATTCTCCACCAATCATGGAGGAAAGCAACCATGCACAAATTCGACTGCCGTAGGCCCGGGCATCAGTCTCGATGGCGGTATTCAAGGTGGCACCGCTTAATACTTCGCATCAAGAACTCGATCATGCTCCTCGGGACACTGACCATTGTCGATTTGCAATGGGAAAGACCCAGTCTGATTCAAAAACGACATGGATTCGTTTGAGATTATCCTAATTGGTACACCCATCACAGAGGGTACAGTGGTGGAATTATGTAGCCTATTATTATAGTGTGGCTAGATAGCATGAGGCTGAACGTACTGTATGGTATCAACCGTCAGGCTTAAGCCAGTGTCGCAAGACCATGGTGCACGCAAAGTATACTCTTACTGGCTGTAATTTCATAAAAGCATCCTGACCTGGGCCTATCGAAAAAGGCTGATGATGGTGTTGATAAAGAGGTTGCTATAGTGTCGTGTGTGTTACTACTTGGTTGTTGTGGTTGATTTCTAGTAATCTGGTAACTGGATAGTCATAAATCGCTACCACAGGTCATTTTCGGTCCCCTCAAGCTAGAGGGGGATCTATCTCACGCTAGATTGCACTTGGAATGGGAAAACAGACTTCGGAAGTCTGAAACAGGATGTACCCTTGGGGCATGGCCCCTTGGAGGCTCAGACCTGCCGTTCACCAAACGGCCACCCTATGGTCATGTTGCCTTTGTTTTCGCGATTGTTAGTAGAGGACTTTCGAAACCAGTCGCTGTCTCACAGGCCCGTTCTGGATCTTCGTCACATTCCGCCATTGCTCTCAGTTTCTCGTATGTGATGTTTGCCATGCCTGAGCGACTCTTTCACGGACATATGGTAGGCGACCGGTTGCTCTTTTTCTTCAAAGTAGATTCGTACTCGGTTCTTGATCCGGAATGTTGTCCGCCTTGACATGAGCTGGACCATCGAGAGGGACTCCCATCATCCTGATCTTGTACCGCAAGCCTTCCACAATCTCGATTCCAAACTTCATCGCCGCGAACTCAGATACAAAGGAGGAAGTTTCAATGGGGCCCTGCTTCTTGCTGTACCAAATAATTGGGGACATGTTAGCAAAGACGAGTACCCCAGTACGCGAACGACGTGTCACCTTGTCCCCAGCATGGTCAGAATCACAAACATGGTGATTTGGATTGGTTTGCCGAGAGGCTTCGGCATTTCTGGAGGCAAAAGCTCTTTCGCATCGGAATAGAAATCACTCCAGTCAGATCGCTCTGGTTCCACATGATTCCCATAGGAAGGATCAAAAACAAGGTGAGAACGACTGTGCGGCTTGAGATATGCCAAGATATGAAACACAGCGTCCAGGTGCCCAACTCGTGGGGCTGCATAGTACGAAGCCATGATTGAAACCTCGGTGCAGATGTCAATTCTCCCTAGTTCCACGGCCCATCGTAGCACTCAAATCTGCTGTTGAAAGTAATTTGTCCACTCGTCATAACAAAGGTTTGAAACATCCAACTCCGGGGTTTAATTGCTCGGTAACACTGAAGTTGCTTTCGACTTGAGCGTCTTTCCACGTCGCTCGAGCCATGGCTCCACATTTCTGACAGCCTCCTTGACATACTGTTCAGATCCCAATGACCAACTGGTTGTCACGCC